CTCTCTCTCTCTCTCTCTCTCTCTCTCTCTCTCTCTCTCTCTCTCTAATAGCTTCGATGTCACCAGCAGTGGATCATCCCCATGGTTCAAAGCTCCGCCGCGCCCGTCTCTATCTCCGTGCTCTAGGGGATGGTAGTTTGTTTGTAGTCAGACAGACTAAAGCGCGCGGGGGATCTATTTCAACAGTCGAACTTACATCGACGACGCCAAAACATTTTTTTTTGCCTTCCAGGGACAAATAACGCCTCTTCGTATTTGCTCTGTTGTCACCGCCTCGGGGGGGATCTTGGATCTCCGTATCTCGCTCCGCAAAAAAGTGTGTGTGCGCGTGCATGTGTTCCAAACGAGTTATTGACTTCAACCTATCTCTGTCTCCCCCTCACGAGCATCGACTGCTCTAGGGAGGTTAGGTTGCCGACCATGCTCCATTGTACAACTATTTGCAACGTTATACCAATTCGCAGGCAAAAAATGCGAAACACGGTTAATTAACGTCTTTGTGAAACATGAAAAACGGCGGATGATCCACCTCAGCTGTAATAGATGCGAAACTTTAGACAGCTACCGGGCGGCTTTATTGACGAGGCGAGGAAAATTGATCTAGCGAGTGAGCGCTGATGATACAGCGGAGTAGCCTACATGGTCATAACAGTAGACTCTACCTCACTGGACGGCAGCCAGGTGTTAAGCCGTTACAAAATGAAGGAAGCACAACAAACTAGTCCATGAATCAGCTGTGAGAAACACAGCAGCGGCAGTACGTAAGGTTCTTGCAACTCTGCTCGCCTCTGTTGTTGAGTTTGCTCTTCTTCACCGCTGCCCCCGGGGGAAGGAGCTGGAATACTCCGTTTCTTTTCTTCGACAACAACAGCCTCCCGAGGCCAGACGACGACGTAGGTTCAACTTACCACACATGGTACGTCGCAGATTAGACCGTCGAATATGGCGCAAAAAGCATCGACAACGAAGCGACAAGGCCGAAAGACCAAAATCGATCAAGATCCATCCGCCTTCTTCCGTTTCGTCAATATCAGCAGCAGCATCAGCGACAGGCTTATCAACATAGACAGATCATCATTAAAGATCCCCCGAACCAGCTACTTTTTTGTGAATGAATGGATGCCTCGTCGCCGAGAACCAGATGTACCGAGTTGTGCTCTCCTGCCCCGTCGAAGAGACGCTATTACCAAATAAATTGTACTTCACCGTCATTCGACGTCAACCGTGGAGGATGGTGATGGATGCTGATTTGTCTCTCAATCAATTCCAACGCAGCAGTAGAATAGGTAAGCAAGGCTGGCCCCCTTGTAACATCATCAATCATTGACAGAGGAGGAGGAATCCATCCCAAGTGCACCGGTAAGTCCCTCCGCCCGCCCACCGGAACCGGGGAGACGTGCACCAAACGACACGCTGCAAAATCAAATAGGTTAGGGACGGGGGGGGGGG